CTAGAGGTCCCTTCCAATCCCCAACCATCCTGTGATTCTGTGACAGACCTGGCAGCAGATCGGAGCAGTGGTGGATCCGGACTTGTGCCGGGCTCTGGCTGCTGGCAGAGCTGGGCAGAAGGGGAAGGGATGTGTTTTTATTGCCTACCATAAGGGTTAAGTCAAGTGTTGTTCCCGCATTTTTACATTACTTAAGAGGAAGGTGAAGTTTGGCGGCACTGGCACTCAACACTCATCGCTCTCTTCACACTGGAGACTCACCCTCATCTAAACCACTCAAACATGATGCTGTTCCTCCAAAAGATCCTATTTGCAGTCTCTTGGTGCCTGTTTGCTAAAATATCGACACTAAATTAAGGCACAAACTCACCTTCCAGAAGCATCTTGGGTTTTCCACGGAGTGTCCTTGTCCAAGAGGTGGCCAGAGCCTCCTCCTGTGGCTCTGGCTCTGCACAGCTGGAGCAGGACACACCGGGTTACAGGACTTCCACTGTGTGAGATGGGAGTAGCCAGGCTTGTCCCACTTCTGCTAACGAGCCTTTTGTTTTGACCCAGTTTCCTTCCTGGTGTGGTTTTTAGGAGCACTTCTGGAGCTTGGACAAGACAGAAAACAAGATTCCACCGCAGCTCATCTTCCAGATCTGGGACAACGACAAGTTCTCTTTTGATGACTATTTGGGTAAGTCGGGAGAGGTTTTTGGCTCCATCTCTGCTGATGCAGACAGGAAGGAAAAAACCTGCTGGAATCCTTTCAGGATATGAAGAAAGTGTAGCAAGACCAGTTTAAGCCACTGAGTTCAGCGTAAGCATAAGCTCAGGGCTGATGAGATGTGGTTTCTATTAGATGGATTTCCAGTGTCAGCCTGCAGCAACCTGTTCCTGGGCTGTCATAGAGTTGAGAACATCATCAAATCCAAGAGAGCCACCACCTTCCATCTGAGTCAGTGCTGAAACGTTCTCACCAGGGCCAACTGTGTACTTGAGCTGAGACCACCAGGCAGGATCTCTGACCTGCTGTGCCTTTTTCATTGCCAGCCTCGCTAATCATCCTCAGAAATCTAGACTTAGGTTGAGACAAAAGTAAAACCAACCTCCCCTTATAGGAAAGGTAGCAGAGCGACACAGCAGATTCTCTATGATAAAGCTGGAGGCTTTTTTTGGTTTAATCTTGTTCTACCTTTCTTTTTGCCATAAAAAAAAAATCAGACATCAAAAGCTTCACAGATAAGGTGATCAAGGTCCTTTTAAATCATAGAATTGTGAAATGGTTGGGATTGGCAGGGACCTTGAAGATCATCTTGTTCCACCCCCCTGCCACGGGCAGGGACACCTCCCACCAGACCAGGCTGCTCCAAGCCCCGTCCCACCTGGCTTTGATTAATTACAAAGGCTGAGTGTCAAAATAACCTCCCCAAGGGGTGTTTTTGAGTTCTGGCTCTGCACATCAGGAGCTCTTGGCTGCCAACGTTAATTCCTTGCAAATTCCAGCAAATTGAAGCATTCTTTTCATCAATGGACATCAAAGGGGTTTCCCAACAAACCTGAGCTGAGCTGTTATTGTCACTGGTTGCAAGAAAAGCTACAAATGCCAGCACGATATTAATTGTGAGTTGTCCGCAGCCGCGCGGAGAGCTGCTGTCCCTCAGCTGAGCCACAGGACCAGACCCTGTGCTCCTTCTTGGCTGTTCCCAAGTGTGAGGTGGTTTGGTGCAGTACTGGAAATTAAATGTGTGCGCTTTCACTTAACACCCGGAGAACTGAGCTCAGGTTTCATAAATTCTGGATAAATGTGCTAATTACTGGATTGCTCTGTGTGAGAAGGAAGTGGTCAGCTTTGTGGGATGTCCTTCATGTTTAATCTGCTGAAATTTTTCACCTAGGTGGGCCAATAAAACTGTATTTGGAGACTTGCAAGCCTCCTGCCCCATGCTTTTCGACTGATGGCGCTCTGGGCGTGTACAATTTGAATTTTGCCCAAATCTCTTAATCTTCATTGAAAATCTGGTTGACTTCAGGGCAAATCATCCAACGTTACGGCCGTGTGAGTCAGGAGATATTCTGCAGCATCTTCAAGAAGGACTTCGTGTCTCCTATATCCCTAAGCACAGTGGTGCTGTTGCCCTGAGATGTTTTCCTCCCTGCAGGCTCCATTCAGATGGATCTCAACAGGATGCCCAAACCGGCCAAGACCGCCGAGAAGTGCTCCTTGGAGCTGGTAGATGACACCTTCTCTTCCCATCGCTTCGTGTCACTCTTTGAGCAGAAAACTGTCAAGGGATGGTGGCCCTGTGTTGCCGAGCAGGATCAGAAGAAGATCCTGGCGGTAAGGTGGCCTCTTCATGGGTTCTTTAGGAGGGTTCCCTTAAGGCATCAAGGTGGGACACAGCTGGGCCAAGAAAATGCAGGATGACATGGGCAGGGCAAGAATCGCTGTCCTGGGCTGCAGATTTTACCAGCTAGGTGTTTTCCAGCAAATGCCTCAGAAGAAACTGTTCTGTGGGATTTTTTTTGTGGAGGTTTTTGAAACCTGCCACCCAGCTGTATCACAGCTATTCTTAATGGTATCCTATCATAGGATGGCCTGAGCTGGAAGGGACCTTAGAGATCATTTTAATCCAGCCTCCCTGCTATTGTGTTGTGATGAGTACCAGGGAATAGGTTCCCCCGTTTAATTGATTGTAAAGCCCTGCCTGGTTCTGTTTAACCTAACCCTGAGCAAACAGCTACAGAAGTTTTGGAAAAGCATTCCCTGATCAGAAATTAAGGAGAAGTATCTCCAAATGACAAGCCTCCTTGAGAAGCCGAGAGCAAATGAGTTGCCAGTGGTAGGAAATTTGTTGGCACATTCATGAGCAGAAGACAGGACTGGGGTCCAGGAGAGGGGAATCTTTTCTTCTCGACACTTTGTTCTGTTTCCTTGCATGAGAAACGGAAAACAATGCTATAACCATATGTATCCAAGGGCTTCGGGACCATGAAGAAAACACAGTGTTGGGTGCCAGCACAGGGAGGTTACAAACATTAACAGTAAGCTTTGCAAGGAAATCTGAGGATAATTAGGCAGACAGACTCCAATGGGTTTTTGGCACCTGTCACGTTTTCCATACTCCTGTTCAAGCCATTGGTGACCGCTCCATACAGGTAAGAGAGTCCAGGCAGGGAATCAAGTCATTCAGCAAAAGACCCCACAGCTGGTTGCCCAAACTTTGGTGTCAATGACACTTGAGGTGGCCTGAAGTGTCTGCTTAGAACATTGTAGTGGGTAGGTGAGGGAGCTGTATGAAATCCACACTTAGTTCTTGTTAGGAGTGGTTGGGTTACGCTCAAAGTAGATTTTCTTTCCCCAGTCAGTGTATTGCATCATACGCTCACTTCTCGCCTCTGCCTTTTTTTTTTTCCCCTCTTGGTTTGGATTTGTTTAGAAGTTTGTTTTTGTTTAACCCACACAGGGCAAACTGGAAATGACTTTGGAAATTGTGGCAGAGCAAGAGCACGAAGAGCGGCCAGCCGGCGTGGGTCGGGATGAGCCAAATATGAACCCCAAGCTTGAAGATCCCAAGTAAGAGCATCTTGAATAGAAGAGTAACCAGAGGGGCACAGAGATCTCAAGGAATCGTAGAATCAGAGAATGTTGAGGTTTGAAAGGGACCTCTGGAGATCCCCCAGTGC